TATGGATAATTTAGCAGCAGCAGTGTTGTTTTTCTAAAAGCCTGGATTAATGCACCATTTATGAGGTTTCTTGCCAGATGGTTTGCTATTCACTTGATCTTTCAAAATTCAAAAAGTGCTTTCCTCTAAGTGAGCCCTGTTAGTGAAGGTTATACATCCTTAATTTCTTTTGTCCCACAGCACTCATCTGCCAAATTATTTCTTCTATCTGGGTTGGGAGGGTAGTTGGTATTTTCCCTGCAACAATGTGTCTTCCAGATTTCACTTTTGAATTCTATCCCTCTGTATATCCTGTTTAGTGATGTCACACTGAAGTCACCATTCAGTCAGTGCATAAGGTTGTTTTTTAATTAATTTTAGGCTTTTTCTACCATCTCTGTCCTTAGATGTCTGTCATAAATGATTGTTTCTTTTAATGTAGACTCTGTAATAAATCATATATTGGGTTTTTGTTACTATATTGTTTGCCTTTTTAATATAGTGGAACAGAAAAAAATAATAATCAGACTTATTTAAATATAAACTTCTGGAAAAGAAAACTTACAGGTCATTTTGAAAGTTAAAATACTCTTAAAAATATTTCCACTAAACATACCACCTCATTTTGTCCCCTTAAAAGTCAATTTTCTCTAAGCAGTGTAAAAAACATGCAAACTAGAAAGCACTCACAGATTTACTAATAGCCTCAAATATGTATGTTTTTGCAAATGTAAGTTTCTCCCTGAAACTCCTCCCAATCTCAAGAGATGCCATCATACAGATACTGTTTCTGAAATCACTATTTCAAAGCTTTATTCACCTGTATCTGGAAATTACTCATCAAGTACAACAAAACACAAAATCTGGATGGGAAGGGGCAGTGCCCTAAATGGTTCAAATTAAATTTTATCTGTTTGTATGAGAGTGATAGGGAATCGGACATCCTTTCATTGCCAGCATATATTTTCAAGTGAGAAGCCTTAGAAGTTAGCCAGAAACAAAGTGACTGTAATAATCTGATGACTGCACAGGCCAGCCTGTGCTTTTTTCAGTCAGATTTCTGTAGACAGTTGAGGTTGATTTGAACTGAGTCCGAAAACCTCACTTTTTCACCCAAGTGATATGTTATTCTGGTGGCATGGAACCAACTACAATTTCACACACTCTGACTCTCTTTAGAAACTACAAATTATGTGCCACCTTAGTGGAAGAATTGCCCTAAAATTAACACAAGACACATTTCTTTGGCTTTCTTTAATTATTTTTCTCATTTCTGTTAAACTTGTTTAAAGCAGACATGAACAGAGAAAATGGTACCCTTTTCTCTCAATTTAGTACCAGCATTGCTGTCAAAAAAAAGTCAGTTTCACAAAGCAGTTACAGAAAACTTCCATAATGCAAAGTGTTGGGACCAGATATGTTTAAAAATTTGGTTCCACTGGAAAGTTCCTGACAAACACCTGTTATTGGCTGATAACAGGAGATAAAAGTTTTAGGTAGATGAAGATATTAGTGTTACCAGCACAGCACAGCAATAGTCAACCTCATCATACCACATAAGAAAAATCTTTATGTCCAGTCCACATAGTTTGGTAGCTTTAGGAAATAATATGCACATTTGTAGAATTCTGTTTTCAGAACATGTAAAATTAAAAATGAACAAACAGACAGAACAAAACAAAAAAAAACCCAAAACCCAACCAAATACCAAGAGAAAACCAAACAAACCTCTCATACAACATCTGAATTGTAATGGACAGCTTGGGACACATTGAATTATTTCTCACTTAATATTTTGTTGAATAGTGGTTTCCCTTGATTTATCGGGATGCTTAAAGCATTGCCATTCATGTGGGTTTTTTTCAGGAGTACAAACAGAGATTATATTTTTATGTGATAATTTTTCAAGTCCTGCATGTAGGACTGTCATGGGTAAAAGATGTGTTGTTCTCCTGTGGGCACAAGCTGTAAGAGTTGACAGCATGGCACTTAAAAAACTGCCATACAGAGGCCTCTGAGACCTTGGCCACAATAATGTGGAAAAAAATTGAAGGGAGAGAAAGCAAAAATAAAAACTTCCAAGATACTTCCTATGGAGTTGCTGTATGTACTGTTAGCATATGTGTCTACTGTTTAAAATGACCTCCAGTAAAACTGTTCAGTAAGTAAGTCACTCTCCACTTCAACTTTCCAAAAATCTCACATTTCAGTGGCAATTGTATTACCATGTGTAGGGGTTATCCAAGTCTGAAGCAGTAAACCAAACTGTTATAATTCACTCTGTAGATACCTTCCAAAAATGAGCATGGATGTTCCATTTAATTAACAGGAATTAACTGTTTGGATCTTTCAGGCAGCTTGGCTATGGGGAAGAAAAGGGATAGGAAGGAACTATAACAAAATAAAAATGTTCAAAAGTATGCAAATGCACTCTAATGTTCTCCTTATATGCCTTAAATCCAAAGATAGACTTCAGAATCTATGTAAAGACCCAAACTCCAGGGTCTTTTTGCATGCAAATTTTTAAGTCATGCCAAGAGATGAGTTGCAATGAACTACAGAAAATCACAGCTGAAATTCTGCAGTAAGGCTGTTACAAAGCCACACCCACTATTTTGCTATCCCACTTTTAATTCTGAACAACCTGACCTGTGGAATGTCTTGCTTTTGCAGAAAAACTTAGGGCAAAGCCTCATAGAACCCAAATCCATTCAAACAAGCTGATGCTGCAGGCAAGAACCACAGGAAGTAAAGCACAAACTCTCAGGTCTAGACCAGGGTGTTGAAGGAAAACTGGACTCTGGCTATATTATGCAAGGCTTCTTAGCATAGCAAAACTGACATTTTTTCACATTTTAAGCTGTCACAATTTCTGCTGAGTGTTACTTGGCACGCTAGAGTCCTCTATCTATGCATAATTCAGAGTAGCCATCAGGAAACTAGATAAGGAGTGAAAGTCTTGCACACACTAAAACCAAGGATATTGAAGTTGGAATATTACACACAGACACACACCTGTAGTTCAGGTTTGGATATCAGATGCTGATGATGATCCTCTAAACACAGACCTGGCCCGATATGCCAACACATGGTAAATGCCCACACTACCTACACCCTTGTTCCCACTCTTGTTGCATTGAAATACTGCTACCTGTCCCCAGCCTCCTGATATTTCCCTGCCATCACCCTCAGGCTGCTCTGAGGTCCTCCAGGTCAGAGCTGGGGTCTGTGCTACCCCACCATGCTCATTTCAGTGATTCTGGCAGAGACCTGTGTCTTTGCTTGGAGGGAAAAAAAAAAGAATAAAAAATATACTGCTTGAAGACAGATTACTCTTCACACTTTCTGTGCACTTTCCCTTCCTGCACACAGAAACAGGCTGGTAACCTGAGTATCCCTGGCCTTTCATTGTGGTTGAACTGCCACTGTTACACCACAGCCTGGAGATGGGCTGGGGATAGCACCTCTGAGCATGTGGGGAGTTTTGAAAGACAGGCAATCACATGAGAAATGAATGTGCAAGAACAGAAAGCACTAGAATAGATTCAAATAAAGCTAAAAAAGGCCAGGAGCTTTCTGAGGAATCTGCTTATGACCATTAAGGATCTGAATTCCTACATGGAAGAATGTAAAATACTATTTTTTAAAATACAAAAAAAACACCCAGCAGTACGAGGTTCCTCTTTGGCAGAAAGCTACTGAGATGCTACCTAGACATAATAGGTAATATAGCTCCCTGGAAGCAGGAACATCACAAGCCAGACCATAAATTCCGCTGAGATCAATCTCCCACCTGGCAGACTAAGCTCAATTGCGTGTAAATTCATAAAGAATAGATATAATCCAGGTTTTCTAGACTCAGAGTAGTAAATATCCTGATTATCTGTGGATCATCAGCCTAGAACTGGGATATTTTCCCATTCCTACAAGATATCCCAACATTGTAAAAACAGATTCAAAATACAGGATTACTGACACTCATTTTGCTCTCATCCTCATTTATGAGAAGTATATGTACATACATAAGCTTCATCATGGCTGGGCTTCGCGAACGAAGATTTGGGAAGGCTCTATCCACGTTTGTTACAGGCACGCTGGTGGCTTATGAGGCCAGTATGAGATAGACATATCCGATAGCAAAAGGCACATAAGGTTATACATAAATATATATATAGCTATAAAAAAAATATATATAGCTATATATATATATAGCTAATATATATAGCTATATATAGCTATACTTGCAAAAACACACTACACAAGTGTTAAAATGTGAACCTCAATCTTACAGGACTGTTATAAAGAAATGGATTAGCCTTGCAGAGGCAATCACCTACTGTGTTGATTCAACACAGCCACCCTTCTCACCAAAGTATTTCCTTCCCATTCCTCTCATAACTCAAAGCCATTGCTACCCAGCCACCTGTCCTCCACATCTCCTCTGCAGTATCAGGAAAAAGCAACTTCATTTTGCCAGTGAAAGGGGAAAAATGTTGACCTTAGCAGGTTGTCTGTGTCTAACAGTTCTGCAGCCAGGGCGTCCTTTTCCTAGAGCAAAGTTCTGATGATCACATCATCATGCAGCAGAGAAGCCACCCAAAGTAATTTTAAATACCTAGGTGATAGGCAAGATTATAAATTACCCAGAGAAAGACAAAAGGATGAAACAGGGTTTAATTAAAGTCTATATCCCTTTCAAGGAATATTTCCTACTACTTTCTGTGCATTTCACAGGCTCCCCAGAGAAATGGTCACAGCACCAAGGCTGACAGAGTTTAAGCAGCATTTGAAAACACTCTCTGGCACATGATGAGATTGTTGGGGTGTCCTGCAATGACAGGAGTTGGACTCGATGATCCTGGTGGGTTCCTTCCAACTCAGCATATTCTATGATTCTATGATTCTATGGTTCGTTTTGCATGCAGTAGAGAAGCGATTTTGCCAAGAGTTTTTTAATGGAAATGTGAATTCATGCTTAATAACAACAACAAAAACATCTAACCACAAATATTAGTCCATTATTTAACAAGGATCTTAACACAAAACCCCACCCCACGTACACTAATCTTCAGCTGCCTGCTCTGAAGATTGGTTTCTAAATTGCTCCCTCTTTTTAAGACAGTGAATACTTCGGTGTTGGTTCTGCCAGAGGCTGGACATTGGGTTGTCTCAGCACCTGCTGAAATGGCCAGGACCCCGCAGTGCACACGGGTGCTCACCGTTCTCAGGGGACCTTTCTGAAGAGTGCCTGACAAAGCCAATGGGGTGAATCAAGAAGGAAAGAGAACCACCTAGTGGCATGTCGATGCTGCTCTTTGCATCTTGTGAAAGTGCTCTCAAGTTTTAGCGTTTCACATATGATCCACCACTTCTTTTCGACATTTCTTTGCTATTATGAGTAAAAGATAAAAAAAAAATATAGGTGATTGTTATTATTTTTTTCACAACAGGCAATCGGGACTATTTGAAAAAGACATGAGGGTTTCATTTTTATTATCTAATTCTACAATTCCTCACATTTATGTTCTTCATCAATGGAGAAAGATCAGGCTGTAAAGTGTCAGTCATATTTTTGCCTGTAAGAGTATTTACAAGATTAAAACTGCTTGTGAAGTTCAAAACTTGACAGTCTAAAGGTCAGCTTCTGAAACTGTAGAAAGAAAGAGCAAACTGTCCGAGCATCCTTGAGAAGCAGAAAGTAATACCAAGGAACAATTTTGTGACTGATGAAAGGTTACAAGTGTTACAGTTATTTATATATTCATTTTACAGATCTTGTCTGTTAGTACCTGCCACCATGCACTGGTAGAAACATCAAGAAAGGAAACCACAGTAGTACACATATCTGAAACAAAGTTATATACAGAGAAATAACCTTTTCAACACACAATTTTCTGAAGTATCCCTGAAGTCAGTTTTATTACCTAGACCTGACCAACTGCTACATTTCTTTATTCTTTATGTTGTGAGATATTTTAATATTAATGGTTACTTAAAATGCTTTAAAAATTTTGACTTTTTAGCCTTCCTGCAAAAGGTTTCAAGTATCAAAAATATGGATTTTAACTGAAAATTAACAAGCAAAACCCAATAAACTAAAAGGGAGAAAAAGCCCCTAAGCAAACAAAGTGAGAATTAAGATTCCTTACAAGATGTGTAGGAAATTGTCCAAGCTTACAAAATATAGCCAGTTCAGGTGCTCTCAACTGCAAAGGTAAATCCAGTTACGTTACCAGGGTGCGAAAGCCTCAGTTTTCACTCAGAGAGAAAACAGTTCACTTAGAAAACTGGAGAATATCATGAAAGGTAAATATTACAGGACTCTTGAAGCATCAGCAGCTTAAGCTGATGATATATGGAGTTTTTATTAAAATAAGAAGAATTCATATAGGCAGATTACTGGAAAACATATGCAGGATTTATGCTATGCTAGTAAAAAAACCAAAGACACAACTAGAACAAGATAAAACCAGTAAAACAGTGGTGGTAAAGGTTTCCTGACACAGGTAAAATTAATCTATACCACACTGCAGAGTGCAGATAAGTCCTGAAGACTTGATTTTGCCAAAATGGTTCAAATGGGCTATCTTTCTTCCTTAAAAAGTTAAATCTCAAAGTAGATGTCAACACAACAAAAACAAGCATGGTTGCAATCCTAGTTCCAAATCTTCCAACAATCAGCTGCAGGCATCCTTAATGCAAACATTTTGCTTGGAAGTACCTCCTGGCATTTTTTCAAGGTCTTCAGGAAGAAGTCCAGCTCACTGAGGTGTTCTCATTGCACTGGAAGTGATTTTTTTCCAGTCTGTTGAGGCTCCTTGGCACTGTTTAAAGAAATCAAATGTGCTTGAGTTCATATTTGGTGTAAAAAGTGAAGTTCCAAAAAATATATATACATGACCCCAGTGTTACACATATCGTCTATGAAATGTTGGCAGCGAAGTTACTCAGGTTCCTGAGACAAAAGTAAAAAGTGGTCATTATTGTCACATGGGTCTTTATATAATAAAGAAATGGACTCAGCTCTCCGATGAGATGGCAATCAAAGAGGTTTATTCAAACTCGGCGCTCCCTCTTATCCCCTAAAACCATGTGACTTTGTGACAAATGGGGTTGTCTATTTAGGCGCATGCCCCCTTGGGCTCCCCTGCCCTTGGCGCATCCCCTGCATCCCTGGGACACGCCTCCTACACATTATAGTAGTGTAATTTTCTGTCTATAATCCTTAGACAAAAACTTAGTGGAGGTAAGAAGTAATTGTTGAATGTCATTTTAGAGACAGCCTCTATGGAGTCTCTTAGTTGCAGCTCCATTTCAAAAAGTTCTCCATTATTATGTATCTCTGTAACTATTAACTCTACTGTGTTAAATTAGGAGCTATGAGAGGTCTCAAAATAGAAAATGAAATAAAGGTGTTACCATTCAGAATTCATTAGACAGGGGAAACTGGCTATTATATCCTTATTTTTTTTGGTGCTAACTCCATATCTTTCCCTTGCAGTGTTTTCAGCTGTGCAACACTTTGCCTCTGACCATTGACAGGATGTACATCTCACTTTTAGGAATATTGGGTATGAGATATTTTCTTTTTCCAGAAGACATTCAGCTATTCTGAAAAGCATCCTGTTGTGATCAGGAGGAAATACAGTGCTAGGAGGAAAGGAAAGGTGGTAATTTTGTCCTTTTTCTTTATTTTTTCTTTTCTTTGTTCACCTACTTAAAAAAGTAAAACCAACTCAAGACTGAAAAACAGCTGCCTTATGATTTCAGAAGCAATATCATGAAAATGGCAAACTAGCATACCCTTTCTAGCACTAATTAGCCTTCATTGAATGATTCCCAACAATCCTAAATCCATACTTTAAAGATTGTGGCAACTGTGGACTTTTAGTTTGCAGAAGAATCCTCCAAGTGTAAATATGTTGCCGTAATGCACATTATGCTACTGCCAGATGTTAAATGATATTGCTTTTGTTATTACATTCATTCCCCTATTTGTTTTTTCTGGTTGGGGAAGATACAGAGTTTTGGAAAATCCTATTCTCATGTAATTCAAGATTGCTTGTAGTCACAGTATGGCTTCTTTGTCCTCACAAACTACTTCATAAATATGCACTGACAAAAGCAATAAAGCTGCTACAAAATTATATACAGATTTGTTTTTAAGGTATTCTCATAAGAAAAAAGCTTCACTTACACAAATCCTCTGAACCAAAAGCTCAGCTCTTAATTGTAATGCTGCAAGCAAGATTAGTAGACATATTTAAAGAGACAAATTAAAACAGAAATTCAATATGATAAACTATTCTTTAAATTATTGTTATGAATCATGATCTTAACCTTTTTGAAAAATTTAATGACAACATGGGACTGAATAGAAATATTCTACAGTGCCAGGAATCTCATCTTCAAAATTAGTTAGAGTTATCTAGAATTTCCTGAAGTGTTTTCTTTCAATTCAGAAGTAGTGGCAAACTTTGCATGAGAACCTGGAAAAAGAAGAACTGTTTTGTATCCGGGAGAGACATAAAACTAGTGGATTCCCTGTACGTGGGAATATTTTCTGGCATGTGTCTTCTATAAAGAGAGAAATGTCAATCTTGATCCCTCAAGGGCACAGTTTAAAAATTCAGGGCCAAAACTCAAGAAACAGAGCACCACAAACCCTTCTTTACCCACCACAGGTTACAGTTGCTGTATCCAGTTCATTTTGCTTCTTTGAAGCTTTGGGACAACATGACTTTTGGAAGCAAGAGTAGCATATGAAGAGGTCACAGCCTTCCTTCAGTTGTTTTAAACTGTAAGAACCATTACTTCATCAAATCAATACATTCAGTGGCTTATAAATACACTTTCTTAGCCATTTAAGTAAAGATTGAGATTGTTTGCAAATCCCAAACATCTGAACTGTTCAAGACGAGCAGGTACCTCTAACCAAATACATATTCAGGAATGTGGGTAAGAACAGTTTACCCAGCACATCTGAGAGGACAGTAGCTTTCAGTCAGAACGGACATTTGGGAATATAATCTCTTCACTGAAAGACGATGTCTGACTTCATCTTAAACATAACTTTAGTAGGACATCAAGCAGAAAGTCTTCTGTGAGACTACCTCCAAACTGTTGTTTCTCCTGAGTCCTCAGTAGAAAAACCTCAGCTTGTCTGGACCATCTCTCTTTCCTCAGTTGTGCCACTCACACCTCAAGGGAGAAGGAAAAAAAAAAAAAAAGTAATTCAAGTTCATAAACATCGGAAACTACAGAATAATGCAGAATTATGCCCTCACCTATTACTAAAAGGGATTTATCAATGTGACTTGACATTATTCTGATATATGGAAATGTGTAGAAATCATAAGGTATATAAGTTCTGTTGATTTCTTTAGTAAGAGGGGACTAGGAAGTAGAATAGCTCCTCTTGTATACTGACAGCAGAAATCTGATGAGCAGGAGAAGGCAGGAAATGTCACTATTAAATATTTCTGTGGAAGTGGAAAACGTTGAGTTAGAATAAACTCTCATAATAATCCAAAGCAGAAATTCGCTCCAAGAGGTTTTATTGCCCAGTGAAAATAAGCAAGTGCCTCTGTGTGTGTGTTGCTTGTGAGGGAGTGGCATACATTTCTTATGCAATAGATAACTTACAATATACTTACTTGTTTGAAAGGTCTGCAAAGTAGGATGCTGAATAGAATCATGGACACATAAGAGGCAAAGGACTTGCAGTAAACACCTTATTATTTACAAGTGCCTAGTGTAATTTTTGCAGGAATTTTGTAAACATTTTATAACTACCTCTAAAATGGATTCTTGATGACTAAAAGAAACAATGTGTTTTCTGTATAAGACCACACTCTGTACCGTTATAAGATGGTAAAGCCAGAATCTGACTGACTTATTTATCTTACTTTTATTGTCAACAAGGAGAAAAAGGCATTCTCTTTGGAAATCTGCATTGCAATGAAGTCAATTCATCATAGTTTTGAGTCTAGGCATTTATGGAATAGATTTGTTGATGTTCCATATGAGTACATTTAATAATTTTTAATGATTCATTTCTTATTCTGTTAATAGCGTCTCCAAATCAAATGTTTTAATCAAAATTAGTATCTATAGTTAAATGGGTAGGAGACTGAAAACTTTAGGTTTTAATTTTTTTTCATGCTAGAGCATATTTTATTGATCAGAGTACATCATCTGACTGGCTTTTATTTATTTTATTTGAGGGTTTATGTAAGACGGGAGATAATACTATCTCCAAGCTGCATCCAACAAAGTTTAGTCACTCACCCTCTATTAAAGTTGTTTGGTGATAACAGGTTTCTGACACTTAGAAGCACTCCTCCTTGAGAAAAAGTGCTGAAAATTAGCAAAGCTCACTCAAGGAAGCCCTGATCCTTCCTTTATAATAAAAGATTTATGCCAAGCTAGCTTGATTTCACAAAATTTTTCTCTCCTATTCATTACTCAGAGCAGGTTATAGCACAACCTGGCAAGAGCCAGCAGGTTTTTCTTCAAGTCAGCTTCAGGCACAGATATGAATGCTGGTGTTTTATATGTTGCCAAGGGCTCCAAACTTTTGGTTATTGGATGTGACTTAGGAAGCAAAAAAACTGATCCTGACAGACACATCACTAGTTTGCAAAGACTGACTTAGCTGCTTTATGCATCTGGCTCCAGGACAACCAACATAGCTGTCACATTCTTGATAAAAGAAGTCCCTTCATCCAGATTAGAGCTCCAGCACTTAAACTCTTACTGACACGGACTTCAAAATCCAACATATTTAGGAGAAGCAGTCTTCCACTCCTCCTTTTAATAAGCCCATTCAAAGCAACTTTTCTTTCTTTATGCATTTTAGATCACATTTCCAGAGCACTGCTGTGGCTCAGTGCTGTCGTACCTCATTCTAAATCCCCTTTGTGGTCTAATTGGATTTTCAGCGCCAGGACACTTTGCTCCAATGAAAACCATTAGAAGCTAGTTTTCATTTTTAGCCAGCTGTTCTCATTATCAACTACCCAATTGGTTGATAACCCTACTCGACATCTTATCGCATGCTTGAAAAGCTAATTTGCTTTAAAATTTGGCTATTTGCAGTAATTTTTTTGGTGTTTATTCTTGGACAGGAAATAAGAATGAACTTCAAGAGACATCAGAAACAATAAAAGCTTCTTCCCCATATTAACATTCTTAGTGAGTTTGTTACCTCATGCCACTCTTATTTCAGTGCTTCAGCATTGTTTCAGAAATTCAGCATAAATGAAATAAGGAATGTTGTCTTCTTTTCTGTGTTTTTCTGATCTCATATCCCATTAGGGTTAATCACAGAATCATACAATCACTTAGGCTGGAACAGACCTTTGAGATTACCAAGTCCAGCCACTAACCCAGCACTGTCAAGCCCAGCACTAAACCATGTCCCTGAGTTCCACATCTACAGGCCTTTTAAATCCCTCCAGGGATGGTGACTAACATTGCCCTGGGCAGGCTCTGACAGAGCTTGACAACCCTTTGGGGGAAGACATTTATCCCAATATCCCATCTAATCCTCTCCTGGCACAACTTGAGTCCATGTTCTCTTGTCCTGTCACTTGCTACTTGGGGCAAGAAACACTCACCCCATTACAGCCTCCCTTCAGGCAGTTGTAGAGAGCAATAAGGTCTCCCCTGAGCCCACTCTTCTCCAGGCTGAGCTCCCCCAGCTCCCTCAGCCTCTCTTTATCAGACTTGTGCTCCAAACCCTTGAGCAGCTCTGTTGCCCTTTTCTGGACACACTCAAGCGCCTCAATGTCTTTCTTGTTGTGAGGGGCCCAGAACTGGACACAGAATTCAAGGTGTGGCCTCAGAAGTCCCAACACAGGGACGGGCACTGCCCTGGTCCTGATGCCACACCATGGCTGGGACAGCCCAGGTGCCATTGGCCTTCTTGCCCAACGGGGCACACCTGGGCATGCCGTATCATTGCAGCAGTACTCCTAATATCTGCCAGTTAAGAGAAGAATATCAGCTTTCATTTTCCCCAAATTATAGCAAGTTTTTAGCCATCTACTTTGTATCTTTATTCATATAGTAATTTACTCCATAATAGATCCTTTTGGTTTCTATATAATACAGATCCCTCAGTGATATTATCAATGGGATCCTCAGAAGTCCTTGCAAAGTTTTGTTCTTTTGTTCTATCACAAAGATGGTAATTTTAGCCCTATAATGGGGTTATCTGCAGAGTGTGAATAGCTGAAATTGGTTGGCCCTATGGGGACTAGTCAACATTTGCAAGTGTTAAACCCACATTACTTTGTGTTAACACCTTTCTGAAAACTGAGCCCTGTGAAAGCTTCTTGATTTGGGAATTTAAACAAGGCATTTTACATTGTTAGACTCTTCTGAAAACTTTAGCCTCTTGCTACATAAAGCAAATCAGGATGAGTTGCCAGGAACTTCAAAGAGGGGAAAAAAGAAAAGGAGAGGCAGGTCTTCATCACTAGAATTTTCTCTATTAAGTGTCTTGGGCGCTTAGATTAAAACAGTCCCCCAAAAGGGTAACAAACAAGAGAACCCTTCTTGTATTTTGAGTAATATTAATTCCTTTTTCTTTCAAGAAAAGAGGGAGGAAAAAGCTCTTGGAGCTTTTTTCAGGGCACTTACAGTCTCCCTTTTCATAAAGCTAAGTAACCCTTTTAGCATCTAAATAACTTTGTGTCTTGTGCTGACTAAAAACTACTGTTGCTCTGATTCGCACTGAGAAAACAGAGGTCACATATGGCCACCTGCAAGAAAGAGTATTAAGCAGTCAGTGACTCAAACCCCCTGTGCATGTTTCTCTCTGTATTCCATTCAGCAACCAGTCATTTATTTCCTTTCATTTCACTCTTCCCTGCCAGCTGCTTTTGCTACAAAGCTGCCACTTTGCACTACGTCTTGACCTCCTGTTCTTGCAATTAACAACTACTGCTAATGTGCTCAGCTGCAGGTCATTTTGCTACCACCCCTTGAAGGGACCTCTCTGTCAGTCAGAGTGCTCCGTGATTCCTCCTACACTCATCCTTTAGCCTTTACATAGCTGGGAAAATAAAATATGGATACTTTCTTCCTAACTATTAAAATAGAACAGATACATTTCTTAAGGAGAAGGTTGCATTTCCAAAACTTCTCTTCTCTTCTACAATTTGGTTTCTAATTTCCAAGCCATCAAGAAAAGAGCATCTAAAAAAAGCAACAGCAGAAATTCTACCTACTGGAAGAATCCCAGTGCACAAAATCCTAATGACAGTTAGCTTTTATTTCTTAGTAAATAATTGAAAATAATTAATCTATGTTAATATTTCTTCTGAATGAAATAAAACTACCAATAAATTCACTCCCAGACTCCTATTAAAAAAAATCCAAGTAGGTATTCCAAATATGTATAACTTATTGCATTAAAATTTTGACAAGGGCAGATAGACAATAGGACAAGGAAGAAGAGTTTTAAACTAAAAGAGGGGAGATTTAGATTAGATGTTAGGACGAAATTCTTTACTCAGAGGGTGGCGAGGCCCTGGCAGTTTGCCCCGAGAAGCTGTGGCTGCCCCATCCCTGGAAATGTTCAAGGCCAGGTTGGACAGGGCTTGGAGCAACCTGGTCTAGTGCAAGGTGCCACTGCCCATGGCAGGGGGTTGGAATAAGGTGGTGTTTAAGGTCCATTCCAACCCAAATTCTTCTAGGATACTTTCAAACCCATTATTTTCCCACTGACATTCAAGTAATTCTAGGTGAAATAAGTTAAAGCTCATGCAACATAAATCAGTGTGTAACTAAATGGTTTTGATGGTGAGGAAAAGACATTCTCAAATGCAGAAAATCTACCCTGAATCAAATATGCTACAGTTGTTGTAATTAACAGCTCTTCATCGCAAGGGATCATTCCACAGGTTCTTAAATTTAATGACTCCATAACTAGGACTTTCTGGCAATTTCCTAATCTTTTGTTCTGGTCACCTAAGAAAAAGAATGTATTCTGTAAGGCTGTAAGGTTTAGGGTTAGGCCTTTTTCAGTAGTGGGTGTAGGGCTTGGAGAATTCAGCCAAAAAGCATGGAGGAAGCATAGCAATAAATTAAAAATTAAATTGAAATTCATCTCTTATACCAACTCTACAAATGTTTGGAAAGTTTTATGAATCATTAGGTTTAGGATCTATTCATAATGCTTGACAATTAAATAATTACTTTAACATTTTAGGTATTTTATTGTTGAGATCAGTTTAAATACTTATGTTGAATTCTACTTTTATGGTATGTCTTGAGACCAATCTCTTTTTTCAAAGATTTTAAAGATGATCAAGAGGTAAAGGTCACCAAGGATTACTGAATGTAAAAGACTGAAGGGCATCATTCTAATATTCCCTAGTCTATGGTAATAACTTAGACAAGTAAAGTGAACCACAAATTTTGTTAAAACATTATTCATTGTTCAGAAACCACTTTTGAAGGATTTGTGCTGTCCTTTCCACAGATAAAAGCATTTAGACAGAACTGACTTCCCCACAAAGCAGACCAGTCTTACCTATGCATTCCTGGCAACCCAATAAAACAGCATAATAATTGGTAATCACATTAATCATATGGTAAACAAGAGTTTCTTTCCTTCTAGTCTCTCCCTGTTGCTCTGCTCCAGGGTTTTTTTCCTGCCCAACATACATCTCCTTCTGTCCTCCTCCACTGCCCAAACCCCTTGTCATGGGGTAAAAAGTGTTTTCCCCTGGAGTTAGAAAAGTGGTAACCCCTAAGGGGGTAGTATTCTTGGTGTAGGGCCCAATCAGAAGCTACATTTCGCTCCTTTGAAATCAACATATTATAACAGACTGGAAAAGAGGGGAGATGATGTAGTTGGAAGTAGTAGCCATGTTGTGAAGCCACAAGGAGAGAGGGGCCAGGAAGCCCCGCTGGGGACCAAGGCCCCCCAGCCCTGACTGGGGGCTGCAGGAACTTGGAACACTGTTAAACTGGGCCAAGTACTGTGGCCAAGAGCTGAGGGAGTTTTTCTCCACTGTGAGTGGGCAGCGGGAGTGGCGGCAGAGACAGCACCAAATAGAGAGCTGTGGCTGAAAGCCAAGAAATATAGTCAGCAGCAGCGAGATGGCACAGAGCTAGGCTGAGAGACACAGAGATGTCGTGCAAGGAGGGAGAGCTGGCAACAGAGCAGAGAAAACTCAGGAGAGACTGTTTTGGGTAAGACTGGATTACCTTCCCAAAACCCAGAGACCTCCTGAAGAGGAGGGGGGGGCTTCCAAACTTTTAGGGAGTCCCGAAACGCAGCAGCAGCTAGAGAGAGAGAGAGAAGAGCTGAGAACTCGGAGATGTACTGTGGGCTGGACCAGGAGGGAATGCGGGGGAAGTGGCCTTGCCCCACCCCTGCTGCCACATTGGCAGCTGAGACAGAGCAAAGGAGCTCAGGTAGGATGCTTGGGGCAAAGACTGAACTGAGAGCTGCCCTGAACATTC